CCATTAACTAGCATTTTACAAAAGACCAACATTGAATATCAATTTAAATGTCCTTTGAGAAATTGCATCTCTGATAAAAATGTAAATACATATGTTGATGTTACAACAATGATAATCACGAGAAGGCTTACGTTTCACTTGAACAATCATAGTTCAGTCTCTGAACATTTAAAGGAACATTCATGTCCACATTCATAGTTTAGTAAGATATTAGTCAAAAATACATCAGTGCTCCATCAAGATAATAATATGCAAAAACTTAAAATTCTGGAAGCCCTTTAAATAAGAGTATTGCAGTGAAAAATAGTCAAATAAATAAATTACCTCCCTTGCATAGAGGTAAAAAATACTCTCAATTTATAGTGTTAACACAGCTATAGATATACAACTCCTTAAAAATGGTCTTAGATGAAACTGAAAGTACTTGGGAAAATAAAAATTATTTGAAAGAAAATTTTGAAAATTTTTCTTATCAATTTTCTGCACCCACCAAGAAATTAATTCATGGACTTAAAAGGATTAAAACTAAAATAAATAGACATAATGCATATATATATATATATATGTGTGTGTGTGTGTGGTGTGTATATATGCATATATATGTCATTCGAAGACAGTACTGTTTCACTGTATCACGACTCCTCAGTACGACTAGACATCTGAATACTTCAAGCCTGGATTGAAACCCAACCGATCAGTCAGAGTTTCTACCACTAAACTATCTTCATTCGACAGAGAGAAACAACTAAATCTAGCGTATTGCTTTTATGAATGAAAACAAATGCCAATCAGCCAAAGTGCTCCAATTCATTTTACTGAAGAGCATTGCATTAACGCAGGTGGCTGTTATTTATAGAATTAGTTTATCACTCAACAGTGCTCAATTGAAATATATTTTCAAGAGCTAAATTATGACATTCACAGACAGGAATGTTTCACTGTATCACAGCTCCTCATTATGTGCATGTGAGTATATATGGGTGTGTGCGCATATATGTGTGTTTGTGTATATATGTGTATGTGTGTATATGTTTGTGTAATGTGTGTATATATGCATGTGTGTTGGCATATATATATGTGTGTGTGTGTGTGTGTGTGTGTGTGTGTCTACAGTCAATGATGAAATTCAATTTTGAATATTTTTATCCATTTCTCAGAATCTAATGCTTGGATGATGCCAGGTTTTTTATATGTTAATAAGCACAAAAAGAATATAAAACTCAATTTTCAGAACAATAGGTTAAATAAATTAAACAAACTTGACAGGCAAATTATGCAAAATATTAACAGTCAATAGTATGGCCGCTCATCTTTATAACTTGCTGCAATCATTTTCTAGTCTTTGATGAGATTTGAACAAGTCTTTTCTGGGATTTTCTTCCATTCTTTAGTGGTTACACATTCTAATTCCTGAAGGTTTTTTTTGGTGACTGATGATTCATTATTCATGAATCTAACTTATCCATAATACATAAAATAATGAAAATTTACAAATCTTTTTCAGAAATACACATGAGAAATGCTTTAATGATAAATCCAACCAAAACATGATTATTACAATATCTTGATGTGTCTCAATGACCCACACAGAGCTGACAACTACTGACATTCCCTCCCCCACACACACATATATATATATATATATATATATATATATATATATATAATCCAATCAAATACAAAATTATTGCAACATCTCACTACATTTCACCAATATAAATGAGGGTGACATCTATAGACATTCTTTACACACATACACTTATACACTTAAATGAATTAACATTACCATCCAACATACACCTTATACATGTGACATATAAGCTTTGTATATAACATTCCAGAGTACATACTGACTTTACCTTACTAGTTTAATATCTATTAACACTTCTTTTAGTGGTGTCTTGTTCAAATAGAATGTAAACAATGTCCCCAAAAATACATCATTGAGACATTTCCAGAATATACAAGTATAAAAGGGACTTCAAATTAAACAACACACTCAGTGCACTTGTTTGCTACCAAAACTTTTGTGATCACAATTCTGATCTGGAAAATGCTGTTTGAATAAAAGGTAAATATAATTTCCTTAAACGAAGCTGCATTGAAAGCGACATGATCTATTAACCCCCTTACCAATAAGAACTAACCAAAAATCTTAACATACCAGTCTCTTTACTTTTTTCATTTCAAACTCAATCTCTGACAAACCTGAAACATATTAGATTGAGATATGTTTCCTAATTGTTCTTTGTTTTATTTTATCATCTCGTCAGATTCCTATCCATATCTTATCTATAGTTGATCTTCAACTCATATACATATTATCTCTGACTATATTTCTGAGATGAGGTACTGTAATTATTTACATTGTTCAGACTGTTGTCCTCAGCTTTATTATCATATTCACAATGTTTCGGCCATTGTACACTTTGGTCTTCTTCCTGTGATTGGAACTGATCTCTTTATTTAGTCCACTAGAGGTAGATTTTTCTAGTTCCACCTGCCATTCCTCTTCCAGATGTCTCAGTTATCTCCCTTTAATGCAACTCTCTGTATTTTTGTTTTGTACAGTAGCCAAGTATTGAACTCACAACTCATGTTTCCTTGAGAGTTAAGGGGAGAGGTGAAAACAAGCATAGCCATCAGATGGAGGATAGAAGACAATACAACCTTTCACTGAGCAAAAATCTGTCTCCACATTTATTCGTGGTTTAATAGCTAACATCTCAGAGAAATCAGAGCTGAGTTTAAATTCCAATCAGGTTTGGGAAAGGTATGAATCAATCTCACCCTCCCGGCTATGGGTTAAATAGTATAACTTATACCTGCAAAAAGCATTGTTAATCTCCAAAAAATTGTTAATGCAACATTCACTTGCAAAAAAATATTCTTACAATCCAAAATGTTTTGGCTTAAAATAACCCACAAAGGTTGATAAGCAATAAAAAACAAAAAAAAAATCAATCACCTCCAATCACTGATTGATATTGTCTGAAATCACTTAAATGGCTTAAATGGTTGATAATCCATAAAAAACATATTAAAACAGGATATTTAGTCAGTTGTGTTTTCATAGCCTGCTATGACAACAGAAAATGACCTTGACTGTAATTGACAATGGAGTCTACCAGAGTTAAAAGGCCTTGAAAAAGCAAAAAGAATGCAGCACAAGGGGAGGTAATACTAGTGAATAATGCAGAGTGTTGAAGATTGCTTACAGGTATATCATGTAGAAACACTGGTTCTTGTCCAATTACCAAAGTTAAGCAATGTTGAGCCTGGTCAGTACTCAGAGGGGTGACCACTAGGTGCTGTAAGCTATGAAACAGAGGATATTTTCCATGGAAAATATAAATATATACATGCTTCACTACATTTTTTGGGTTTAATATATTCCATCCATGGATTTATCTGGAATGGAATAATTCTACTTGTGCAACCTTATTAACAGTAAGCAAGGCCCAGACTTAATCTTTCAGTAAATTTGGAATATCTTTAATACAACCAATATTTAGCTACTTATAACTTTATATTGTTTATTTTTATTCTTATTCACTATTGGAAAATGTAAAATTTTGTTGCAGGTGGTATATAAACAGATACTGGATGACAGAAAATAACAACAAATAGAATGAAGTCTTGATTAAAAATATATATTGCTAAGTTTATTTTCATTAAAGAAAATACATTGACAAAAATAAGGTGCAGTTGGCAAAAAATATCTCTGCATATTCATGTAGAGGTGAGAAGAGCATTATCCTTAGAAGGACAATTTTGTAGCCATTGAGAGTTGTAATCATTGAAAAATGTTGTTCTGAAAAGGACAGTTTATTGCATATCATTGCTGCTGGCAAGAATGGCCTGCTGGAGCTGCTGATGGTTGGCTGGCTGGCTGGAACCACATGGTTGGTCATTTTATCAGTTTTCAAGGCCTTTTTTATATGCCTGCAGTAAGCTGCAGATCCACCATCATAAAGACTGAAAAATAAAATTGACAAAAGATTATTGTTTGTCATTTTCTTAATTAGTCAGTTTTCAAGGCAAAAACATTTTATATGCCCTCTACCAATTGAATATAACAGTAAAATGAGATAGAAAATAAAAGAAAAAAGTGTCAAGACAATCCACCATCATAAAGACTGAAAAATAAAATTGACAAAGATTTTTATTGTTTAAGGTTGAATATATTTTCACTCGTTGACAAATATTAACTTTATTTGGGTTTATTAATTATGATCTAATGTCTTAATTAGTTTTTTTTTTTTTTTTTTTCTGGTTATTTAATTGATCAAACTCAAACAAAAATTTATTGTTTTCAAATCAGTAGAGATCGTTATGAGTCTCTACCAATTGAATAGAATTTTTTATGAATTGGTCAAACCCAAACAATTGTTTTTTCAATCTTATAAATGGAATTTTTGTCTTGTAAAGCATTCTGAATGTAAAAATAAAAGAAAAAAAGTGTGCAAGACAATAAGAAACACTACATGCCAAAAAAAAAAAAAGTGAAGTTTTGTTTTATCGGCTGAAAATATAGGAAATCCGCTCCCATATTTAAAGGAACCCACACACACAAACAACCTGATGTGAGTTGTTCCCCTTCCATTTTCATGATGTCTCTTAATCGTGTTTTCAAATTGATTTTGTGCAAAAACAATTATATTTTTCCCATTTTTGGCACTGTTAGAACCACCACAAGGTAATTTTATGTAGTCCTGTGAAGTTTTGTTGAAATCGGTTGAAAAATGTAGGAAATCCGATCCAATATATAAACGTTACAGACACATACACACTCTGCGTTTTATAATAAGTAAGATATCAGTTTTACAACAGTCACTGGTCCTGGAAGGTGAAGTTTCTTCTTCTGGATGTTTTTTTTTTTTTAAATGTGGGAGTGCTGGCATGATACAATTTAAAATAAGTGTTAATCAGTGTGTAATTGCAATATAGATGAAGAAGAATATTTTCTAATATTTTATACTGATTTTTTTTTCTTTCAGGGGAGAGTACTGACCAAGACGCTTCCAGTAGCTCTGAAGATGAGATCAGCATTGGTAAACGCACTTCAAAAAGCAAGCGGGGTGACTCAGGTAACACTTTGCAACTTCTTTTAGTGGCATCTTGTTCAAATAGAATGTAAACAATGTCCCCAAAAATACATCAATGAAACATATAATTTCCTTGAATGAAGATGCATTGAAAATGATATGATCTATATATGTTTTGTGCATATGTTTTAGGTGAAGGGGATTATTCAATATATAAACAAAGATAGAAGAAGCATGCATAAAACTGAGTTTCTGCTACAGATGTTTATTCCTTTTATGTTGACTGTATTGAAACAAAGCTAAATGTCTCTTCAGTATATTTGTTTTCCTTTTTGCATCAGAAATTATTTATGGGAAGTAAGGATAAGAATGGGTAAAAATGGTCACGCTCAAGTCAGCCTCATGCTGAGTTAGAATGGCCAAATCTTTACTTTATGAATAATGCTGCTGAAAACACATCTGAACAATCTCATTGGAAAGTGGGGAGAGAGAGAGAGAGAGAGAGAGACAGATTCTGTCCTTTCTGGAAGTGAGCTCATAAAATCACAAATATGACCAGAAACCCTTTTCAGTTTAATTATAACCAGCATCATGGGAAAATTAATTAATTTATTTTTTTTTATTCTTTATCATTATTTTATCTATTGGTTTTATTTCATTTTCAAACAAATATACAACCAAATATACTGATTTCAGCTTATCTCCTGTTCTTATTAAATTAATAATGGAACAATGTGGAGTATGTAAACCTTCAAATAAATAAATTAAACTGGAATGAAATTAGTTAAACTTTTGAAGTAAAAATCACATGAGTCATATTTTGTATCACTAATGTAGATTCTGTTTTTATGAAATAAAATTCATTTTCTGATAATGCTAATCCATTGGTCAAAGTAGTTTAATTTTCTTATATACTTATCATAGTTTTATATATGTATATATATATATATATATATATATATATAATGTGTGTGTGTGTATAGAAATTATTAGGAGGATTTGAGATAATCATAATTAAGTAATTCATCAAGTCTAGAAGAAACCTCGACAGAATGCAAAAAACACTAAATGGCCATTTCGTCCTATATTTGGGACTCATCAGCAGTGTGCATCCACTACCAAGAATTGAAACCTGGACAGTTATGATATCAGGCAAACATCATACCAACTGTACCAACAGGCCTCAAGTCTAATTCATTACTTCTTTGTCACCAAGGCCCATTGGTACAGTTGGTGTGATATTTGGCTGATATTGTAACTGTCCAGGTTTCAATTCTTGGTAGTGGATGCACACTGCTGATGAGTCCCAAATATAGGATGATATGGCCATTCACTGCTTTCTGCATTCATATATATATATATATCAGTGCACGGCGAGTGCTTGTGGTAATGAAACTATTGTAACCAATGGTGAAGAACTAATGTATATTCATTATAAGTACACACACACACACACATATATATATATATATATATATATATATTGTGTGTATTTAGGAAGCATTTTTTCATTGATGCATGTTTCACTAAGGTACTATCACTCTTCCTAACAAAATTGATAAATTCATTAACCTTTCCAACTATGAACTAACTAAGCACCAAAAAGAATTGCTTAACCTTGGACCTGACTGCCATATATACTGTAAGTATAATCAACTTTTTAAAAAAAAAATAGAAATTGAGATGCTATACCAAAACATCGTTAAACTCCAGAATGAACAACTAATAGAAACAACACCAGAATTTAAAGATTTACTTAAGGGCGGGGCATTTAAGGATCGACATGATAAAAGCAGAAACTCCTCAAAAATACTTTCTAAACAACTAAAAATTGCAGCACAAGAACTACACAACCACCCTGACATAATTGTAAAAATAAAGCTGATAAAACCAACATATTCGTCATCCGAAACAAATTGGATTACAACAAAAACTTGACTACATACTTCATGGTCACATAAAGTTTAAGAAACTCAACAAGAACCCAACCAACCAACTAAAATTAAAGCTTAATAAACTCATTAATACTAATAATGCTGAACAGAACTCTTTAAAACTCCCTAAAATTGTTGATGATTATAGACCTGATTACATATACGGCACTATAAAAACACATAAACCTAACTAACCTCTCCATCCTATCATATCGCAAATTCCAACTCCTGTATATCAGCTAACAAAATACATTAACCAACTTATTACTCCCTACCTTCCTAGTAAATATAGTGTTAAGTCAACATTAATAGTAATCCAAATCCTAAAAAGTGAAAAAACCAACAATGAAATCATAGCTTCATTGGATGTTGAAAATTTATTTACCAATGTCCCTGCTAGTGAAACTATTGACATAATTATAAGAAATATATACAGTAACTCATCTTTACCCCCACTTAAAATTAATACTAATATATTACGGAAACTACTATTAGCTTGTACTACTGAAGTCCTTTTTTTGATCATAATAATATATATATATATATATATACAACATGATAGTGTCTCCATGGGTTCTGTACTGGGTCCGACATTTAGCAATTTCTACATGTCGAACCTCGAAAATAAGATATTTACAGATTTTAAAAAATCCATCTATCTATCTATCTAAGATATGTTGATGATATCCTTTTGTTAGTTAAAAATACAGATGAAATACTTCAACTTCAAAAACGTTTCCAAAATAATTCTGTCCTTAAATTTATGTATGAACTCAATACTAATAATAAAATCCCCTTCCTTGACATATTGATAAACACAAATAATAACAAATTTACTATTTCGCCATAAAAAACCTACATGCATAAATTCATGTACATTTAGCTACAAGAGTGAATGCCGATATTACTACAAAATAGCAATTCTAAAAAAATCTAATACATCATGCAGAAACTAATTCATCCACAGAACAGATTTTTTACAGTGAACTAAAGAATATAAAACATACACTTATTAATAATAGCTTTCCAAACTATATAGTTGATGAACAAATAAGATGCTTTCTTAGAAATCTCAATACTAAGTAAATAGTACATAATACTGCTTCTACTAATCTCAAACATATTAATCTCCTATATCATAATCAAATGCATACTAATTATAAACAAGATGAAAATATATTAAAAAATTTAGTAAATACTAATATATCAACAACAGATCCTAGCAAAAAAATTAAATTAATCATATACTACACCAAATCTAGTATATCCAACTTAATTCTTCGCAATGATTCTTCTCCCCCAGTTAGCGATTTGCAAAAAACCAACATAGTTTATAAATTCAAGTGCCCTTTGGGAGATTGTATCTCCAACGAATTAAATAATATTTATGTTGGCCACACCACAAACTCGCTTTGACGATGCTTGACTCTATATCTGAATGATAGCTCTAACATTTTTAGGCATTTAAAACAATATGCCAGGCCACATACATAATTCCAGAAAATCCTTGTTGAAAACACAACTATACTTAAACATGAAAATAATAAACAAAAACTAAAAATTCTCCTCTGAATCAGTTGAAACCTAACCTGAACAAAATAAACTATGAAATCTCCACAAATATTCTTAAATGCCTATAATTGATAACAGAAGCCATTGGTTTATACCAACGGCTTCCCATACTTAATACTTCTTGTTTTCACTCTCGTGTGGTCATGTGTGACATCATGAGCTGTGGTGCGATTTTCGCTTCCATGTTTCATATACACAAGTTTGTCTTTGATTGGAAATCTTTGTTGCAATAAAAACAAACTATCATTATTGTTTTGTCCATGTATTGTTTAATATATTGAAATGTAATTGTCATCTTTGATAATGTCTTATGAAAGCTGAAAGCTTAGTTAAAATTAAAAAACATGTATCATTATGGTGATCTTCTTTCATCTTTCAATGATAATGTTATTAAGCTTATCAGACAATATGAAAGGAATTTACTTATATATATTTTTCACCCCAAGTAAGGCAATAAAGCCACTAAAACACAAGTAAAATTTTTAAAGTAAATATCATATACTTAACATGAGTCACATTTTGTATCATTAATGTAGATTGTGTTCTTGTGAAATAAAATTCTTTACCTGATGATGCCAATCCATTAGTGAAACATTAAAGTTGTTTTCAAAATTTTCTTAATTTATCATATATATATATATATATATATATATATATATATATATATGTGTGTGTGTGTGTGATAGAGTGTAACTGTAGAGGAAACAAAATGAATAAAAATATGAAGAACTATTCTTAGCCAATGTGTTTCATCCTCTGAGGGACTTTATCAAGGCAATGTGTTTAAGAGTAATCAAGAAGACAGTAGATAACAATTGACATTGCTTTTAAATTTTTAAGATCAAAGTTAGCTGGAAACCATGGGGCTGAAATAGATCAAGAAGTGTGAGAAAAGAAACTTTTAGCATAGAATTTATGGCTATATCTAGTCAGCTCAACTGTAAATTGATGAGACCTCCCCGCCAATCTAGTACTGCGCTTAAATTCATAAAGTCTAGGTACCATAGAGAAGAGCATATCCAAACAATTATCATGAAGGTATTTATAGAAAAGGCAGAGGGAAGCTAGATTACACTGGTTGGAAGGTGACTGAAGCCAAAATGTCAAGTCAGAACCAATAGTATTGTTGATGATTCTTTGGAATTTATCAAGAATCTCTAAATATATAGCAGGAACATACATGAAAGACCACACAGTGAGTGCTGGTGGCAATACATAATTGATAATTTGATCCCAATTTTTTTCAGAGATAATGGTTTTAGTGATACAAGTTTTACTAATTAACCCATAGCTTGGAGGAGAAGAGGTGGATTCATACCTTTCCTAAGGATATTTGTACATAGGTGAATATAACAAACTTAACTGAAATTGAAAATCGGCTATCCAGTTAACAATTCCAAATCAATACCCATTACACCACCCTCACATCGAAGATTACAACACCTGGTATTCCCAAGTGGTAACCCATATTGGTACTGACCAGACTCAATATTGCTTAACTTTGGTGATCATACAGGAAGAAGCGAGAAACATTTATTCTAAACTATCGTTTGGACCTGAAAAAAAAAACTGAGTTTTCAGATGAGCTCTTCATTGTGGTACCTAGACTTTATGAATTTAAGTACAGTACTAGACTGGCATCGAAATCTCATCTTCATAGTTAAATTGGCAACACATAACTGTAAGTTCTAAGCTAAGTTTCTTTTCTCACACTTCTCACTTGTGGAACTCTCTTCCAGCTTCTTGCTTTCCAGTCAAATTTAATCTTCAAAAATTTAAATGCAATATCAATCATTATCAACTTTCTTCCTCATTACACTTTTATTGTTTTTGCTCATCAATAACGCTTATTTTTTCTAATTCTAACACACCCACTAATCCCTTGCATCTTAGTGACTTTATTGCCTTTCATAGGATGAATTCAATTAAAAAAAAAATACAGCACTTTGTCTGAGAGAAGACCTGACATTGTATAGTTGGTTGATTATTGAGATCACTTAAATTACATCCCAAATACAGTAGTTCCTCTTTATCTATGTGACTATATCTTTCAAAACCTCCATAGTACTGAAGCTGTGAATAGTACTGAACCCAATACGTGTGTTTTTCCTACACATACATCACAATGATGAAGTTTAATTTCTAAATTAGACACAAGAAATGAACAAGGTAGAGTGAGTGGCCATGTAAATAAATGGTAGAATTGCGCAACAAACAGAATTCATAAACAATAACAAGAAAAAGTAAAAGAAAAGAACATAGCAAAAATATTATAAAGCAAGCAAACAATATATCCAAGGCAAATTAACAGTAATATGGCAAAACTAAGAATTAGGTTAGACCCACAAGAGCAAATTCAGATAAACGAATGTAGTATTCTGACTTCAAGGCAAGACAGAATGGGACTGAGTCAGATGAAACTAAGAAGTGGTCTATCTTATTAGCTAAGAAGAAATCCCAGTATGCATTTGTGTGCTTTTGCCTATTAATTGAGGAGGGTAAAGTGTTTTGCTGTCATTCCAGCATAGATTGTAATCAACAATTTTTCGTAATGAAATACAATTATTTTGTAAAATTTTTACTTAATGTTGAAAACAAAATTTTGTTGAAACAGAAACTGATGAAGTATAATTTGCCAATGTTTTTGTTTGTGGATAGATTGTTAAAGAGGCTACTTCAATCTAGGTTTAACAGAAAGGAGCTATAGATGAAAGATTTATCAACTTCAAGTATCTGTGAGTCTTATTTCTTGATTATTATATATTCAAAAACAAAGCTTAATACAAAAATAACCTTTTGAGCACAAATTACTGTTCAAGAGGGTATTATGCTTCAGAATAATGATGATATTTCATCATTCTAAAAATAACTTTGCCATCAGTGATGATAGAAAATAAGGATATTTCATCATCCCTGAAATAAAGATAAAAAATTTCATCATCCTAAAAAACAACTTTGCCACCAGTGATGAAAGATGAGAAAGATATTTCATCATTCTAAAATCTGATTATAAAAACGACCCTTCCACCACAAACGGTGTCAGTTAGAACTGTAGAGTAGAAGGTGGAAGTAGCAGTAGTAAAAAGGCCCAACACTCGTGTATCCCGCCTTGATAATTGAAAACTGACAATCTCAAACACTATCCTTAACAAAGAAATTTTTGGAACAAGCAAAAAAAAAAAAAAAAAGCAAAAACTTTTAAAGAAATAAAAGAGTGTAGCGGGGCGGTCCAGTGGCCCCGTTTCACAGAAAGGGGGTGAACGAGGTCACAAGAGGCCCGCTGACATTTTTGAAGACGTTAAATCTGACGGTGAAACAATATGGACGACAGAACGAGGATATATATGATATATAGAGGTTTATTCTAAAAGGAAAAGGAAATGAAGATGATCGGAAACGGTGGAGGTGCTGGAAGCTGCAGAAGTGCTGGATCCTGCAGGAGTGAGCCGGATGCTGCAGGAGTGAGCCGGATGCTGCAGGAGTGAGCTGAAGGCTGCAGGAGTGCAGGCATTGATGGTCGAGGTTGGCAGTTGCTAGGATCATCGTTGTTGGGGGTTGAAGCTGATGTGGGTTGTTGCCAGGATGATCGCTTGGTGGTTGTTGATGTTGAGTGATGCCAGGATGATCTTTGTTGGTTGTTGAAGCTGAGTCGTTGCCGGGGTGCCAACTTGTTGCTGCAGTTCGTGTTGCCAACTCGTTGTTTGTCATTGCCGGGATGCCAACTTGACGTGTTGGGAAGGAGAGAGTGAGAGAAAGAAAGTTCCCAACTATCGTCAAGTTGGCAGACAAAAAAAAGTGGGAGCGTAACTAATACACAGCCCGTAGATCGGCGCCCCCTGGCCAATGAAGGCCAAGGGGCCTGCGTAGACGACCGTTGCTGCCGCCGACAGCCTCCAAGAATCTAGGGAGAAATCACTGTCTTGTGACGCGGGGGACCAGCAAGAGAAATTGGCTAAGCTAACCGAAAAGTCTCTATAATAAAATGCTACGAGGTTAGCTAAAGAGAACTAAGGTCTAAAAATGACTAGAAGTATATTACAACTAGGTTTGTAATATAGCCTTACTAAAAAGGGGATTTGCTAGTCCCTCCGACGTGTTAACAGTGTGTAAGGAGCATGAATGAGAGGTCAAGGTCGAAATGACCTGTTCCTCCGCTGGTTCAAGGATGGAAGGAGGAGGTAACTCCGACAAGAGACACTAACACTGAGAACATTTTTAATACACACCATACCAATATCTGTAATTCACATCACTAAAAAGATAAATACAAATTCTTGTTATTAATGTCAACATGTGTCATGAGTATTATTGTTTATGCTATAGTTGTACATTTTTATTTATTCCATTTTCAATATAAAAAGTAAAAAAGAATTCCTCTATCAACTACTACTACAAATACATATAACAATGGGGTAATTACTTTAACTACTACATCAACACCAATAAAATACAACCACATTACAAGTGTGGTTCATTATCATTTCTATAGAACCAAGCTTGTAAAAACACTGTAAAATTTATTTTCCATTAATTTTTATCTTTGATTTTAATTTTTTTTTATAATAAACAAAGAAAAACTGCTCTTAGTCAATCTATTGATAAAAAAAGCATTAATGATGACAACAGATTGAGAAACATTGATAGAGACAAAGAGAGGCAGACATCTTTATTTAAAGGAAGATAAAAAGAAATAAAAATATAAAATGGAACTCCTGAAATGTTTACAAGACAAAGGTTAAAAAATAAAAATATAAGTCATCTTCTCGGTTACTCTGAAATCTTAGTCAAAAACAGAATACCAAAAAACTGTTCAACTACAAATCATTGCTCAGCTGGGAGACTCAATGTTTCTTCTACAGAACCAAAGACTGATAAGCTTATAAGTATTAAATTTCACATTTACTTTATCTTTTTACCTAATAAAATTGAAAAATCTGTCTCAGTAAACATTAATAAAAATAAAATCAACAAAAAGAAATACATAGAAATTATAAGTATGTGTCAATAAAGTTTATACCTGTTTATTTTTACAATGAGGTTCATCTTGTACAAGGCCAAAAAGCCACTTGAAGTAGAGGGTTAGAGAGTAAGAGGCACAGTTTATGTGGATATGTGAGGAAGGTAATGGTTAACCCTAGACTTGAACAGGTTAAGATTTTAGTGATTGGGAAAACATCCTCTTGGAAATCATTGTTCCAAGAAGCTTTCCCAACTGCTATATTCTTAACCACTTCAAATTTACAGTTATCTTTCCTACATATTTTCATAAAGTGAACTTCTTACTGCTTGTACAACAACTTCCTTTGAAATTCCCATCTGGATTTTGGCCATTTCAGTTTGAATATCCATTGATGTAAATAAAATTTAAATATCCATTGCTGTAAATAGGTAAAACAAATAAAATTAAAAGTCCAAAAACTTATCTCCTCAACTTCAACTTTCATAGATGTAATCCACACATTGGTGGGTTAGATAGTTCGACTGTATTTATTAATAGGTATTAATCACATTATGATGTTTTCATTTTTATATTGAGGTAATATATGTGATCTGTTAATAATTTCAACTGAACTGATGAGCAGATTATATCTATGAAACTTGAAGTTACGAGAATATAAGTTTTTGAATGTTTTATTTTGTTTGTTTGCTAATAATTCTACATTTCTTAATACTGAGTGCTTGACTTACAAAAACTGCATGCCTTAAAAGTGTTATCCTTTAGTGATATACTGTTAAATACTTTTTTCTTTTTTTTTTTTTCTTTGGCAAAACATTTGATATACAGGGTGGTCCGAAAGTCTTGTCACTTATTATTAAAAAGTAATGAGAACAATAGAAGAAAAAGTAATACAGTAATATAAAGCACATTTACTGGATTCAGTTTAGTCACTTTCATTGACACTGTCACACATCGAGAAGGTCTATATGAACACCATCATTTTCGTGTAGGCACTTGTGTCATCTATCTGAAGTAGAAATTTATATTATATAACAATGACATGACTTTCAGACCACCCTGTATATATATATATAAGTAAAGTCTGATGATCCGCAGTCCTTTAAAAGGGCTGTGGTGAAATAATTTATTACATGGAACCTTAAAGTGGTCTGTTTTTATTTAAATTATTTGCTCTGGATTTACATTGAGCTCTCTGGATTTTATCCTCCTTGGATTTACCCATATGGATTACCTAGTTTTTCATAAACTAAATATATATATATATATATATATATATATATATATATATATATATTTTAGGCTGCATGTCATCATCCAGATATGTTCCATTGAATAATATAGACATATTGTATCTACTTATTTTTATACTGATCCTTTCCAGTTGTCTAATAAGTTTATTGATGTTAAGATGAAATTCATCAAGGAAAGTGCCATAGTTTTTTTTTTTAATCCAAGTACTTTCAATCTTTTCTAAGATCATCTTAGGGGTAAATTACAAAGACAAACTTATTATAACTGTGATAAAATCTGCATTCTGCTGTGATAGTGATTTTTAAAAACACACACCACTGTAAGTGCATATAACATTTAATGTCATTTTAGATTTCTAACAATTTCCGCTCAGCTCCCTTATATTGAAATGCTTGTTTTGCAAAATGTTTCATAACTACAACAAAAAAAAGTTAAAATTTTAAAGCAATTATAATTGAGCAATATAAAAATTTTGCATTACCTTCTCTTGCATTATATTGGCTTGTCTTGTATTATTTTGCCCTGTTCTTCTTCTTATTATTGTTATTGAGAATGTTACACTTAATAATGCCTGCTTCCTCTACCAGCATAAACAAATATAATATTGCTTTATTATAAGAATTATTAATTATAAAATAATCTTTAAAAAATTTTACAAAATAATTATAAAAAGATTAATTATAAAGTTAATTATTTATTACAAGAAATCTTTATTTTTAGTTTTCTGATGCTTTAATTCTTGAAATATATTCAGTTTATCTCTTGTGACCACTTTTCAGAAAGTGACAATGTCAGCATTGGAAGCTCATATAGCAGCCGTCTACCTGCAGATGATAACAGGACAAGCAATATCAGTAATAATCCATTTGGAAATCAATTAAGTGTAACTGATAATAATGAGTTCCATGAAGCATCTGATAATGAAAAATCCAGTGCTGGGGGTAAGTATGAAACCGCATCCTTCCAGGCTCTCTATGTAGGATCCACATAGGAGAAAAGCCATGTTATGATTTTGTTCACTTGATTTAATTAATTTTTTTCAGTTGATTTATGAAGGTTCTAAAATTTCTAATTAATTATAATGTAAGTATGTAATTTTGGGGACTCAAGAGATAGTTTCTCTCTGGGGTCCCAATTAACAGTGAAACTATGGAAAATTGTCTACCCATTATGATTTTCTTTTTTTAAAGAATAAAATATTGTTGACATAGTTTTTTTTTATTTTGATCATGGTTTTATTTTGTTTGTTTTTTTAAAAAATGGCAAGTGTTTTATTACAATATGAGTAAATGTTATATAAAATGTATTTTTGACATGTTCTTTTTAAAACTTGACTTTTTATAATGATTTAACCATTTCGATTTTAAACATCAGCTTTTAAGGAATTTTGGAATACCAGAATTATATTCTTCAGATTTAGCATCTATGATACAAATATATTGATTCATCTGGTAATTTAACAAATGTGATAATTCAGTTACATACTGTCACACTTAACATTATTTCCAAAGAGATTTTTTTTCAAAGATTTTGCAAATTATGCATCATCTGATGTTAAAACTATACTGATTAAACTATCATGAAAATCATTAAAGGCAAAAATGTTATTTTGAACAGCAAATGAATTTATTAGACCTCAAATCTTTTGTTAATTTAAAGTACTTTTGGTAAAAGATAATATGTATTAATTAAATAAATAAAATATAAAATAATAATAATAAATATCATAAATAAAATAAAACAAGTAACATTTAAAAATAAAATAAATAAAACCAACATAATAAAATATATCCCAGCATGCAACAGAAAACCTTTCCTGCCTAAAAATAGATACTTCACACCAAAAAATGCTGAACTCACTCTCTTTGCTACTGACTCTCAAAGGGTCAACACAGCTATCTCCTCAGCACTATTCTTGTCATAAGATGAAGGGACTTTCTTCTTTTATTACATGCAATCTTAAAATACATATAACTAAAATACACACACACACAAATACACAAAATAATTAAAATTATATGATTTTAATTTACAATTTCACACACTTTTAGTGTTATTTCCTTGTATGTTTTTATTCCTGTAAAAATAAGGCTATCCCTGCTGGTATGATGCAAGTGACCCCACAGCTCAAGTACTTCTTTTCAGCTACACAAAGTTATGGGAAAATATTTCTCTTAATTTTATGAGATGTCTAATTTACATCTTATCCCAAAAATGACTTCCAAAAGACATGTTTCTGTCACTGACAATTTAAAGCCATACCACTGATCTATATGAATCAAAAAGAGGCTTGGTCTATTAAACATGACCATTAGATGTTTTTGCATCAGGCAACATGTCTAGAATTTTTTTTTTTTAGAAAGTTTGCTAATACACAAATATTGTTCAGTCAATTAAGTACCATACGTGATACATACTAGAGTGATCATATCTCTTTCAATTCATATCTAACTAGGCAAATTTCCTGCAGTAAAGTGCCATTTCTTTTACAGCTATGGGACCTAGTATGTCTTATTACTCAACCCATAGCTGGAGGGAGAAGAGAGATTCATACCTTTCCCAAGGATATTTGCACATAAGTGGATGTAATGAAGCTGACAGGAATTTGAACTCGGTTTTCTGATTTCTCATTCTAAGCTACGATCAATTACACCACACCACACATCCCAAACATTATTACTTGATCATTGTAGTCCTGGGTATGATGACAAACTACATCTGGCAGTAAGACCTCTGATCAGGAGATTGAGTGTTTTGGGGAGCATTTTTAATTTTTCTTGTTCCCAGGTTCACCCTGACCAAGAATAGTAGCACATGTTAGGGTCCCAGTTATGGCAAATAGTGAACCTCCAAACAAAAACAAAACATTTTTATAGTAAAAATAACATCAATAAATTCTTATACAAAAAAAATTACCAACAACACATTTTATCTGTAGTTGAAGGCATACAATTGCATTCAAAATATATTTCATTGAAGAGATACAATTGTGTTCAAAATATTTAGATTTCAGCATTAAATAACCCATATGCTGCTAAAAAAATCAATCAAACCATATACATGGAAGAACTCTTACTTCAACAAAACTGCAACATAAAACACAGATATCACCACCTCTAGTAATTATATCCACACAAACATATATATGCACTTAAACTGAGTATCATCTACCATGTATTCAATTGTGAAAGCTGCATAACATATATCATATTTTTATTACTTCAAAGCTCTGAAGAAAATTAAATTTTGGCATTAAATGACCCATAAGGAGTTAATATACCTTTAAACAAACCAATCAATCAATATTACTTGTTCATAATCAGATAATAATAGCTTTGGTGTATTGTTAAGAAGGTATTGATTTGACATCAGTTGATTATGCAAAATTGTTCATTCAGTCAGATTTTGAAACCAAAAGTGGCAGAAAATTAGTTTTGTATTTCTCCAATATATTCAATTGATCCTAAGTTAAAACTTTCAAGATTTCACTTTGTTCATTGTCATCGATGTCCTAAAGAACATATTTCTGGATATTTCCTTTTTCTATTCGCAAGTGGTGAATAGTGTTGCTCTTTCCCAAAGCTTGCTGGCCCTAATGTTCTTTATGAAATTTTTTTTTCTATTTTAAATTTGCTTTTTCTTTCTCTTTTTTTTCTTCTCGTTGTTCTCTTTATTCATTGGGAAAAGAATTCCTTTCATGAATTGTCTTATGTATTTGGCACTTCCCAAAAATCATGCTTCATTTTTCTTTCTATTTTTAACTTTTCAGCTTTGTACTTTGCATAAACCTAACCAAATCTTTTGCTTCAGTTTTTTGAGAAAAAGAGGGGAAAAAAAATCCATATTTTTTGTAACAGAATTTTCATTATCTGTTTATATTTCTGAGATGTAACTATTTACATTCTTTACATTGTTCCGACTGTTGTCCTTATATTTGTTGTCATATTCACAATTTTTTGGTCATTGTACACTCTAACCTTCTTCAGGTGACTGGAGGGAAAAGGAAGAACACTACCCCCTGTGAGATGAGGTTGAAATAATAGACAGAGAACATCACTGGAAAATACATAAACTTAAGTAATCAACACACATGCTTACCCACAAAAATCTCTTAAGTTGACCAAGCATAGACATGAATACAATATTGGAACCAGTAATACAGAGTGCTAGAGAAAAACAATAATAACGACAAATTGTAATATGAGCTCTGGTAAAAAAAAAAAATCCTGGTTATTGAGATATTAGGTTCATTCCCAAAAATTCATACACTGATGTCCCCAAGGATACATGGTCCAGTGGATTAAAGTAATGGTTGAAGTAATCCAGTAACTTGACCCAAAGAGTTGTGAGTTCAAAAACTTGTGAAGAAAAACTTGGAGTGTTGAGTTACTAAAGGAAAATAAGTTAAACTGAGATATCCAGAAGCAGCATGGCATATAGAACTTGGTTGGTTGGTTGGTTGGTTGGTTGGTTTTGTTTAGTAGCAAATCAATCTCTATAGGTTATTTAATACTGAAATCTAAATGTTTTGTATGCAATTTTATGCTTTCAAATACAGATATTTTGTACATCATTTTATACTTACAAAGTAAAGGTTTATTTCTTAAACATAATAGTTTGTAGCTCATAAAATGTTTTGTTGGTAATTTTACTATAAAAATGTATTGTGGATTATTGTTTGGGGGTTCACTATTAGTCCATAGCTAGAAAGACCCAGGGTCAGAGTGGATCTGGGAACAACAGTAATTAAGGGGTGGTTCCATGGTCCTTGCCGTTTAATGTAGTTTATCATTGTGCCCAGGATGATCCAATCACCTGAAGGCCAGGTTGTACAATGATCGAAATGTTGTGAATATGACAACAATGATAAGAACAACAGTCCAAACAATGTAAATAGAATTTTCATTATCTTATGTTTTAACTATTATTATCTTTTTTTTTTTAAAGAACATAATTTAATCTAAATAACATTTGAGATATCAGAGTAAAAATGTAAAATTTTGTTTTTTCTTACTTTGAATGATTTTTTTTTAATATTTAATTTATCATTAAACATAAATGCACATACATACTAAAACTGATTCATATACATAAAAAAAAAAGACACACACTCATAAACACATACACACACATTATATATATATATATATATATATATATATTATATATATATTAAGACATTTTTATGTTTATACATTCTTTTTATAGATACAAATATTTAAATGAATGCTCTGTTTATAATAATATTATCACAGTGTGGGATAAAAAATATAAAAAATATATATAAAAAGAATGTATAAACATAAAAATGTCTTAAAATAATTGTCAGACTTTGTCCATTTTATAATATATATATATATATATATATATACACATATATATGGCAAAGTAGAAAAAAGTTTACTTGTGATGTGTTTTGTCCTTCAGGACTTCATCAGACTAAATTTGCTATGTTGGTATGACTACACATGCACACAAACAAATAATGCTGGGAAACAAAAGACCCATAAAATATTCCAAAACAAAAAATAAACCCAATGAATCAAAAAAATATATTATCCTATCAACTAACTCCATCACATTTAAAATTGAAAAGAATCTATCTCAACTAAACAGAAAATTTGTTACTACTACATCCAAAACAATAAAAGACTTAATCAATACTAACAAAACAATCAGCTAAAAACTGAAGGAGGAATTTACTCCATCACCTGTAATAATTGTCACAAAAATTACATAGGAGAAATCTCAAGAAACCTAAATAAAGATTATATGAACACAAGGGGGACATTTTATTAAATCAAAACAATACGTCAAATGTATTGCTTGCCCACTGTAATGAGACTGACTACAATTTTGACATAAAATACTAATTTGATCAAAGGAGTAAACAATTTACTATGATGTAAATGTCTAGAGAGTGCCTTGATAGCAAGGTCAT